GCAGGGGAGTAGGGGAGCGAGACAGGGAGGGGAAGAAAGGCAGCCTGTCCTGGGTCCTGGAAGAGTGGGTGGCGGCTATGGGCACCTGGGGTCCAGCCCCACATCGACACACCCCAAGGGAGAGGGTACTGGGCGGTCCGTCAACCAGCTCCCACCCGGGGTTCTTTCAGGGCCCCAGGCAGTCCAGCCAGCCCACATTCCCAGCCAGAGAAAGTCCTCCAGCAGAGGGTCTTAGGGGCTTGTGGAACACTGCATCAACTAGCAGTAGAAGCGACAACTCCCACAATAAAAACGAGAGTACCTGAAACTTCAGGTGCTCGTCCTGGGCACCTTACTTCTGTCGTATCGTTAATCTCCTCTGCCACCCTATGAGACAGATGCTATGATCATCCCCACTTTTTTTTTTTATACCGCTTTATTGGAATATAATTGCTTCACAATGTTGTGTTACTTTCTGCCGTACAACAAAGTAAATCAGCTATATGCACACATATATCCCCATATCCCCTCCCTCTTGTGTCTCCCTCCCACCCTCCCTATCCCACCCCTCCAGGTCGTCACAAAGCACCGAGCTGATCTCTCACGCTATGCAGCAGCTTCCCACCAGCCATCCATTTTACATTTGGTAGTGTATGTATGTCCATGCCACTCTCTCACTACGTCCCAGCTCCCCTTCCCGCCCGTGACCTCAAGTCCATTCTTAACGTCTGCATCTTTATTCCTGCCCTACCACTAGGTTCATCAGTACCATTTTTCTAGATTCCATATATTATATGTGTTAGCATACGGTATTTGTTTTTCTCTTTCTGACTTACTTCACTCTGTATGACAGACTCTAAATCCATCCACCTCACTACAAATAATTCAATTTCGTTACTTTTTTATGTCTGAGTGATATTCCATTGTATATATGTGCCACATCTTCTTTATCCATTTGCCTGTCAATAGACATTTAGGTTGTCCCCACTTTACAGATGAGGAAACTGAGGCTCAGAGCGGGTCAGTGACTTCCCCAGCTTGTCACAGCCAGGAAGTGGTGTCAGACTTTGAACTCAGGTTTGTTCTGTATATTATCCTGACACCACTTCCTCTTATTTATTTATTTATTTTTTGGTGGGGGTGTGGAGGGGGGAGGACCCTGCCTTCTGGAAGATTTAGGCATCCAGACACCTCTCATCTGGGAAGTAGAATATATCCTTCTTCTACTGTGGTCCTTGAGCTGTGACGTGCACTTGCTGAAAACTCACATTCCCAGCACTTCCTGAGTCAGAACCCAAGAGAGTATGCCTTGGGAATCTGATTCTGAAGCAGGGGGTTTACCGACAAATTGCATGCTAGTAGCTCTTTTCTTTCATGGGCAGTGAAAAGGAAAAGTCTAATTGGGGTGGAATCATGCGTGTTTCCTGCTGGAAAAATGATTCTTTGTAAGTGGGACACGCACAAGTCTGGCCTCAGTCCCTGTACCGCCTCCCCTCCAGGGTCTGGGTGACTTCAGCTCTAAGCTAATCCTGCTGGCTGGATCAGCAGGTCCTGGATGTGTGGGCTCTAGGTCTAGTTCTAGACATGTGAACCTCTGTGCCAAGTTTGTGTCTGGGCATCGGAGAGCGCTCTCTTGGGGTGTCTGCAACGGCACTGGCTGTGCTCCAGAGCCTGGCGCTGCCCTCTGAAGCCCTGGCTGGAAGGATGAGAGTTCCATCTCCCACCCTTCAGCCAGAGGTGGAGGAGGGCTGCTCCCTTACTGTGAGAGACAGAGAGGAAAGCGCCAGGGGGAGGCAGGAGACGGCTGAGGTCACTGGTGGTCTCAGCTGCCTTGTCCTGATACGGATGTTGTCCGAAGGTGACGTTCAGCTGCTTTCCCTCACTCTGCGGTGCTGCCCACAATTGGGAACGGGCTGCTTCACATCTGCTCGTCAGCTTCCAGGTGGGATTGTTCAAGGAGACTCCTAGGTGGGGCTGGCAGAAAGGAGCAGCCTCTTTCTGGAAGCTTCCTGGCAGAATTGAGCTAGTTCAAACAGGAGAGAGTGCAGACACTTCTTGGTTCAACTATCACTTGGCGTCAGCAGTCTCCCCAACCAGGGCTTCCCAACCGTCCATCTGACCAAGTCACAGTCATCCAGTTCCTCCAGAGGCTTCCCGGTGTTTGTAGAATCAAATACAGACTCCTTGCTGGGGCCCCGGGGTCCTGTCCACCTCCCCTTCCTCAAGTCTTCCCTTCACTCTGGTTCTCTTCACTTCAGCCTCATCAGCCTTTAACTTCTGACCCCTGAACCCACGAGGCTTGATTTTGCCCCCCAACCTTTGTGCCACTGGAGCCCTTCCCCCTCCCACTCCTGTCACTCTCCATCCCATTTCCCTGTATTATTTTGTTCACCATCTTACCACACAGGCAATTATCTGATACTTGTTTATGAGTTTATTAACCCTCCCCATAAACATAGGGGCTTCATCTGGGTGATCACTGTGTCCCCAGGACCTGGGGTCCAGTAGACCTAGTTTAAGTGTATGTAGAATGAATTAAAGGCTAATTTCACACTCAGCAGGTCTTCCCTTCTCTATAGGTCTGAGTCTGGGGGCCTTAGAAAAGAAAAAGACAAAGCCAGTTTGCAGTAACCTGGGATTTTTATTGCCTTGTGAAGTCAGGCAACTGTAGGGGGAAGAGCAAGGTGACAGGCTCAAAAAAAAGGGACATTTTGACTCAGCTGCTTATAGACCACAGGAACCTTCCCCTTTACTCACCTCCACCCCCAAGATGTAAAGCAAGAAGAATGGAGGCTTTGGAGGCATCTAACAGAACTAGAGCTGGACTTGAGACCTCTTACTTGACTAGTCGACCTTGGGCAAGTCATCCAAATTTGCTGAGCCTCAGTTTCTCATTCTGTAAAATGGGGATAACAAAAGTTCCTACTTTTTAGGGCTGTTACAAGGATTAAGTAAATCGTGTAAAGCACTGAGAGCATTGCCTGGTACATTGTAAACACTGCATAAGTGTTAGCTCTTGTTTTTTTCAGAGTCACGTGGTCTTCATGACATTTGTGACCAAGGGTACCTCCTAATGTTTCCAGCCCTCTTAGACTTCGGGTGCCAAGAGCTGTCACCTCTTTTTGAAGATTCCACATTGTCTCAGCCAACTTTTCCCAACCTAACTCAGCCATTCACTCACCACCCTGTCTTGATTTTGTCCTATTCATGTAGCAGCCCTACATTTATTCACTTACCATTTGTAGCCCTTTTTCACTTAAAGCAAATTTATTTACAGGTGAAGATGTATCTTATAATCATGAATGGAGAATCAGCATCACTTGCCGTTAAAATAAGGTGACCAGAAATAAATAGACATCCAAATGGAAAAATAAATTTATTAAAATTCCCTGTGAATACTGTTGCCTGTCCAAATCTGGGACTGAGGTTAGCACATGGCAGAGAGACGTAAAGACGTCTTAGCACAAGAAACCCCCCTGATGCAGTCAGAGTGAAGGAGAATTGAGATGGACTAACGTTCTCACTATGCAATTGTTTCATGGTGCCCACATCCCTCCTGGCTTCCCCCCTGCACCCCTGGGAGCCCCAGATCTAAGTTTTCCATATCATAGAGGAATTCAGGGCCCTGTTAGGACCATAAAAGACTGAACACAAGGAAAATTGGGGAAATGTGCACAGACATTCCAAAGCCATCAACTAGACCAGTGGTTCTCATGCCTCAGCACCTACCGTCAGACTCATCTGGAGGGCTTGGTAAAGCAGGCTACTGCATCTCAGCTCCAGAGTCTTTGATTCATCACATCTGGGCTGGAGCCCTGAAGTTGCATTTCTGGAAAGTTCTCACCTGGTGCTTCTGCTGCTAGTCTGGAGACTCCACTTTGAGAACCACTGAGCTAGACTAACTGAGTCAATGTCAAGTCCATGTCTGGACGTCCAAACCATTCCATTAAAGATATCTGTCAAATCCCTAGAGGGGAAGAGAGTGAAGGACACATCTAAAGGTCCCACTTCTCTGTGTAGAGTACTTTGATAATAAACCTCTAAGCAGGCTGAGGGTAGCCTTCTGGCAAAGATGTTGGCCGTTGGAAGTTAAGCTGGTGCACACAGAAATAGTAAGGGAATCCAAAAGGATATGTATGGAGCATTGACAGCATCCGCTGCAGTGTGTATCCACCCTTCAGATGTAAAATTCCAAAAGAAAAGGATAGAGCAAGGTCATAGTACCCTTTTGAAGTCTGACAACGGTGTGGGGAAGAGCAAGGTGACATCTTGGATTTGTCTCAAAGGAAGACATTTTGACTCTAAACTCTTAAACTTAATACCTCTAAAACTTAATACCTGTTACTGATCTCATCCTAACTGGAAGCTTTGGTTGGCTGTCTCCTATAGCATGAGCCTTTAAGAAAAAATGATGCCACCTCTGGCACCACTGACCCAGGGTTTCTGCCACGACAAGTCAGTTAATCTCAGTTTTTCCATCTGTAAAATGGGAAGAAGAATAATACCTATTTCATGACGGTGTTATAAAGATCTAATGACATAGCATCTATAGAATGTTTAGTGCAATGCCTGGCAAATGAGTCTTCAAGTAAGCTGGTGATGATTATTAGGGTTGAATGATGATGATGATGATGATAAACATAGACTGATAGATAACAATGTCTTTCAAAGCATGAAGTCCAAGTGGGCACTGTTGGTGAGACAGTTGCTACCAGCCCTTGGACGACCCAGGACTGACCCGTGAGTGTGGGATGGCAGCAAACTCTCTCCAGAGTTAAGTTCCTAGGTTCCAAGGGTATGCCTTTACAGTAGCTGCCCTATCTCGTCTCATGTCTTGGTATCCACAGCACCCAGAGCTTTCTGAACCATTGGCGTGTCCCATCCACCCATCCATCTACCCAACCATACATCCACCCACCCATCCATCTACCCATCCATCCACCAATCCGTCTAAACATCCATCCATCCATCCATCCATCTATCCATCTATCCATCCTTCTCGCTTTTTCTCTCTCTCTCAGGTTAAAGTGCCACAACAAATGCACCAAAGAAGCCCCACCCTGTCATCTTCTGATCATCCACCGAGGAGGTAAGTATTTAACACTTACTGCCCTGGGGTTGGGGTCGGGGGCGGGGGGCTCCTGCAGGCCTTCTGAGATAGCTGTCCCATCCAGCTCACCTCTGGATACCCCTTGACCCTTGATCCTTGCCTGTCTCATTTCTTTCCCTCTGACACCCTTCCTCCTGACATCTGTCTCCTTAATCCACCTCCCATGCCTGTTCTCCCTATTCTTTGTCCCCATTCTGGTCTCCCTGATACTTTAGCCCGCAGATTCATCGACCCCTCCCTAAGTCTTTTTCTCTCGTCCTTGTCCTCTTTCCTAACTTTTACTGTCCTCTCTTTCCCCCAATCCCATTCCTTTCCCTTCCCACTTGAAAAGAGTCCTAGCTGAGTGTTTTTCCGTTATGTTCTCTTCAGACTCGGTCAATTGGCCCTGCAGAAGTAGGCATAGGGAGGGGTCTTGCTCGGGCCTGTTGGCTTGGGCCATCCGTGTTCCATCTCCTGGGGCCCTGGGAGTGTCTGGGCCAACCTGTCTAGGCAGGGAGCCAGCCGCTACCTCTGGGAAGCCACTACCAGCCTCCTACCAGGCAAGAGCTAGACCAATTTAGTGAGAAGGAAAGGTTTTCCCTGTCTGCTAGGGATTCAGTTGGAGGCCTTGCAGCCCAGCTTTCAGAATAGTTCCCGCAGTTCCTGGCCTGTGGGGTAGTTATCCCCAGACTCCATTACCCACACTGCACTTCACCCACCAGAGGATCCTGTAGGCCTGTGCTGTTCAATACAGTAGCTACCAGCCATATCTATTTAAATTTAGATGTATTACAATGAAATAAAAATAAAAATGTAATTACTCTGTCACACCAGCCACATTTCACGGGCTCCATAGCCACACGTGGCTACCATATTGGATAGTACAGATACAGAACACATTCATCATTGCAGAAAGTTCCACTGGACATCACTAGTCCAGACGCTTGCTCTTCCAGCGGTGGTACGTGGGCCAGCAGCAAAACGGGAATCGCCCGGGAGCTTGTTAGAAATGCACAACTTCTGGCCTTGCTCCAGATCATGCATTTTAAGCAGCTTCTACTGGCAACTTCTCTACTCTCTAAAGAAGCACTGCTCTAGAGGAGAAGTTGCAGACTCAGATGCCTGCCAGGTACTCTAAATGAGAGCCGCTGGCCAGGCGGGGCCGTGCAAAGTGGAGAGAGAGCCAGGCGCCATCTAGAGAGGATGGTCACCCCAGCAGTGTGGACCTGCATTGTAGCGTTTCTCATGTTTCAAAGAAAAGCCCCAATAGTTTTATGTGCCGTATACTTATTTTTCAATGTTAACAACTTATTAAAATTGTTAAAGTTCTTGCCGGCGCCCTCCCTGCCACCCCCCACCTATATAGGTTGGATGGAGGCCTAGTGCCAACTCTGGGGAACACAACTCACTAATCCTCGTCGTCTGCCACCCCTCCCAGCCCTTCTGGCCTCGGGTCAGCGTAGGCTCAGGGGACTCTACCCTGGTCTCGAATGAACCCAAGGGAAACTTAGAGAAGGAGGTAGATTTCAGCCAAAAAGTGCGGGCGCGTCTTCCAGAGCCAATGCGCCATCAGTTTTCGATGATCTCTGCATCGCTTTCCTCCACGAGGAGAGAAGATTGCAAGAGAAGGAAAGGTCTTCAGCTCCTTTCTCTTGCCCCTTCCCACCTCATATCCTTAATTAAGAACCATCTGTTCCTTGAACAACTGTATACACGCCGTGAGGCTATCTTAAACCTGAATTCTCACCACTCCTGAGCCCTTGTCTTGGGTCAGCTTTGTCGAGGAAATCGCCTCCCACCGGACTCCCCTCCACTGTGGTCTCTGCTGGAGCCCGACTCCCACATGGAGACCAGGACCAGCCTGCTGGGAGGCGACCCACTCTCAGACACTGACATCGGAAGAAGGGCTCCCTCCCACCCACCTTCAGGATGCCCCCTTCACTCAAAGGCGGCAGGTGCCTGTACACACGAAGCAAACGGAACTTTCCAGAGGTCCACCAGCTTCTTGTTCTACCCACCCTGCTTTGGTAGGAAGTTGAAAATATAGTTGGTTTCCATGGTGATGGCAGCCCAGGCTTAAGAGAGAAATTAACCCCCTGGGTCAGTCCAAAGCTTTAACTTTTCCACGAACACCCGCAGCCCCACAATAAAAAACAGCTAACAAGTGACATTACCAGGCATCACATTTGAATGCAAGCTTCTTGCTCTGCCCCTCCTGGTGGTCCCTGTAAATAGTAAGTAACAGAGGGGTAACAGGGAGAGGGGCTCAGGTGATGTGGTTTGGATCAGGACACATTTATTTAGCATTGCCTGTGTGCCTAGCTTTGTGCCTTTAGGGATGATGCAGAGGGGAAGCTGGGAAGCTGAGACTTTCCTTCAGGGATCCATGGTGACCTTGTTTAGCAGAAATGTATTTTGACCTGCTACAGACTGCTCGGGCCTGAGAAATCCCACAGGTGACCCAAGATGATCCTAACACACAAGCTTAGATGCGGGAGGGACAGGTGGGCACAATGAGCTTGTCGACTGATGACAGCCCCTGAGAAATCAGGAGCCTCTTGTCTTTCAAAGGAGGTTCAATTCTGAAATGAACGCCAATGTGAAACAATTATGGTATCGGAGGAAAAAACTCCGAAAGCTTCAGTTTCATTGTAATAATTTTTAATCGTCAAAAGCCATATATTGACAACACAAACATTTTAGAAACCACAAAGAACGCAGATAGTGGGAAAAGTGTCCCAGTATCATGACATAACACAGTGACTATCATTTTTAGGGAATTCCCTTCCAGTCTTGGGGGCGGGCCTTTGAGGTGGGGTCAGAGCTCTGCTCTCCTGACGTGACAGTACAGAGCAAAAGTGGTACTTAAATTCCCACATCGCTGTTTTTACCCCTACGGATCCCGCAAGGTTAGTCCGGACAGAGTCTGTTCCGTGTGACATCAACAACCCTCTACGAAAGCCACCCCGGTATTCGGACCTGCACATCAGCCAGACGCTCCCTAAGACCAACAAAATCAACAAGGTGAGACTGGAGTTCTGTTGGGAAGGGGCGTGCTGGGGCTGCCGCTGCCAGACAAGGGGCAGGAGGGAGGAAGGTTCTCGAACAGGACTGGGCAGATTGATCTGGGAGCATTGCCCTTACTTCCCAGCCCACCTAGGCTCTCCTCATTCTGTGTGGTTTGTGTCTAGAAAAGTCTGGGGGGCATCCAGCCATCAGTGCAGAGTGAGTGTGCCAGAAATCTACCTAATTTAGAGAGAGGGCGCCTGGCAATGAGAATGAATGAGCGTGTTGATGGGGGCACAGCAGGGATGGGAGAGAGCCTGAGAGGGGTCCCTAGTGGTGCAGACTCCGCCCTCTTTCCTCTGTGAGATGTATCATCCTCTGCCAGGATGAGCTTCGCAGATGGTTTGGCGCTTTCTCACGCATCTGTTGAATCCAACCACCAAGGGACAAGAGTCTGTTTCTGAGCTCCTGCTGGAGACTGGGTAGATGGATCTGTGTGGGGACCACAGGCTCTGAGCCCTAGCTAGCCTGGTTGGCTTCTGGCTGGTCCCCAGACGGTGGTCAGCAGCGGGCTTCTCTGTGCCTCTTTCTTGCCAATGTGGCCTGGAAATTTCCAGCGTGATTTCCATGTCCTTCATTTGGTCTGTTGGTGGAAGAGCACCAAAGCGATCCCAGGGACACTTCCAACCTCACGGAAGGAGCAAAGGTAACATATGCCAACAGGTGATTTCTCAAGCCCTACGGTGCCTCCGTGCACTGTATGGAAGGTGGATAAAATGTGGGTCAATCCAAGCATGTGGGAAGTCACCAGCCTGTGTTCAGGACCCAGATGAGTGTCATGGTGGCCGTGTGACCTCTCGCCGGCAAGGCATACTCTCCCTTCTCTGCATAAGGCTGGAGAGGGCCATTCTCCCACCCCGATCCACTCTCCACACAGCAGCCAGAATGATTCTTTTTTTTTTTTCTTACTTTTTTTTTAAACATCTTTATTGGAGTATAATTGCTTTACAATGGTGTGTTAGTTTCTGCTTTATAACAAAGTGAATCAGCTATACGTATACATATATCCCCATATCTCCTCCCTCTTGCATCGCCCTCCCACCCTCCCTAATCCCTCCCCTCTAGGTGGTCACAAAGCACCGAGCTGATCTCCCTGTGCCCATGCAGCTGCTTCCCACTAGCTATCTATTTTACGTTTGGTAGTGTATATATGTCCATGGCACTCTCTCACTTCGTCCCAGCCTCCCCTTCCCCCTCCCCGTGACAGAGTGATTCTTAATGAATGTAATTTGAATCACACCACCCTCTGCTTAAAAACCATCCCGTGGCTTTCTGTTGCGTGGAGGAAACAAATCAAACTCCTCACTGCAGCCTGCAAGGCCATGCACAATTTGGTCCCTTTCTCCGTCTCTGACCTCCCTTTCCAGGCCTCCCCAACAAGAACACCTCCCCAGGTGTTCTTTCTCTCTCATGCTGTCACCCACCGTTTTTACTACTGGATCTCAGTCATTCACCATCTGTCTCCTTGTGGCGTTGTCTTAGGACTTGATGATGCAGCTTGGCCCCTGAAGTCAGGCAGACCTGGCAGCCAGTCTTGGGGCCTCCACTTACTCACTCTGAGACTCCGGGCAAGTAACTGAACCTTTCGCTGAGCCTCAGCTTTCCTGTGTGTAATATGGGCATGTTCCAGTTATCCACTGCTGTATAAACAAACGACCTCAAACTTAGTGATGGACACCAACAGCTCTTTAATTATGCTCATGGAGTCTGTGGGTCAGGGATTAGGAAAGGGGTACAGTGGGGGTGGTTTGTCTCTGCTTCATGATGTCCAGCTGCGAAAAGCTCATGCAGCTGGGGGCTGGAATCATCCAGAACAGGGATTGGCAAACTATGGTTTACAGGCCAAATCCAGCCCACTGCCTGTTTCGGGGAAATAAATTATACTGGAACAAGCCACACCCATATTTTCTATGGCTGCTTTCATGCTTCAAGGGCAGAATTGAGTAGTTACAACAAAGACCACTTGGCTCACAGAGCCTAAACCACAGGATGGTTTAGCCATTTCAAGAAAAAGTTTGCCAACCCCTGATCGAGAGGCTCCTTCACTCACATATCTGGTGCTGGAATGAGTCAAAGGCTGAGCTCAACAGAGGCTCATTGGGAGCAACTACATGTGGTCTTGCCTTGTGCCTTGGGCTTCCTCACAATATGGCTGCTTCAGGGTAGTCAGGCTTCTTACATGGCACCTCAGGGCTCGAACAGCAACTGTCTTAGCAAACAAGGTGGAAGCTGCAAAGGCTTTTTATAACCTAGCAATGTAAAAGCCCATGCATTGTCTTGGCTTGTCTCTAGCCAAAGGCTGGCAGTGTCAGTTCTGCTGTACTCTACAGAGGGAAGCAGTCACAAGCCTACTCAGATTTCAGGGGAGGAGCCGTGATCTCACTTGTCAATGGGAAGAATCCAAGGAATTTGTGACCGTTTTTGAAAATGTCCCCTGGTAAGCAAACAGAGCACCAACCCCAGAGAGTTTTTGTGGGGATGAAATGAAATAATCAACATAAGGCACTTAGGAGAGGTTTCTGGCACATGGTAAGCGGACAGGAAATTCTAGCTATTTTTATCAGCTTAAATCTTGGGCATCCAATAATAATGTCCGGCTGAGTCTGCTTTTCCTTTGTTATTTGTAAAAGATGTAGGTCTCCCCACCGCTGGGGCTGGGGTGCTTAAGGGACTTGAATGGTGAGGCTCCTGGGAAGTAACCAGGCACACCTATAACCATCCTGTCCTTTGTGACCTCTTGAGGGGTGAGTGGCTCAGAGCCGTCTCGAGACCTTTCTCTCTGGCTTTACAGACGCAACAAGCCTCTTGGTGTCAGATGGGACAGAAACATGGGTCAGATAGATCGGTGACTGTGACATTGTTCTGCTTGTCTGCCATCAGGAGCATTTGATAAGAGAAATAAATTAACCTCTATTTAGAAAGCGGCTTTGACATGAAGGTGGACAGGAGCTATCAGAGAGCTGGGTTATTGTTTCCCCTTTCTCTTCTCACTCGCTTCACGCAGATTCTTTCTGTCAGGCGATGATGCGGTTAGTGCAATAGATTTCTGAGCCAATTTGATCTGCAGATTTCCTTTTCATTGCTCTCTGTCTCTTCTCTTTTCTAGCTCTGTCAGTCCAGGTTCATAAGAGCCCAGCTTGTTCACCCAGGAAGATGATTTGAGTGTGCATTTTGGAGTCAGAAGGTCTGGGCTTGAAACAGTTTCTTCATATGCTCTGTGACCAGAGCAAGATCCTTCCGCCTTTACTTTCCCCTCTGTAAAGTGGGCATTATAATAGTAGATGGTATTGGAGTTGTGGAGAGGACTTGATGCCGTGTGTTATATGTCAGGAGTTTAGTCCCAGCGCTGGGTCCTCAGGCCATGGAAGAGCTTGGCGATGAAGGAGACAGACGAGGAGGAGGGGGAAGAGGAGCAAGAGGAAGAGGGCGGAGAAGCAGCAGCAGCGTCTGCCGCTCCTGAGGGGACCAGTCTACAGTGTTTGTGCTTCTGCACCAAGGCATCAAAGGTCCCATCTGCAGTGGTGTCCGGAGCTGAAGATCTGCCTGCTGCAGGGAAGCTTTTTTTTTCTTTTTTTTTTTACACATCTTTACTGGAGTATAATTGCTTTACAACGGTGTGTTAGTTTCTGCTTTATAACAAAGTGAATCAGTTATACATATGTTCCCATATCTCTTCCCTCTTGCGTCTCCCTCCCTCCCACCCTCCCTATCCCATCCTTCCAGGCGGTCACAAAGCACCGAGCTGATCTCCCTGTGCCATGCGGCCACTTCCCACTAGCTATCTACCTTATGTTTGGTAGTGTATATATGTCCGTGCCTCTTTCTCGCTTTGTCACAGCTCACCCTTCCCCCTCCCCATATCCTCAAGTCCGTTCTCCAGTAGGTCTGTGTCTTTATTCCTGTGTTTTTACCCCTAGGCTCTTCATGACATTTTTTTTTTCTTAAATTCCATATATATGTGTTAGCATACGGTATTTGTCTTTCTCTTTCCGACTCACTTCACTCTGTATGACGGACTCTAGGTCTATCCACCTCATTACAAATAGCTCAATTTCGTTTCTTTTTATGTCTGAGTAATATTCCATTGCATATGTGTGCCACATCTTCTTTTTTTTCTTTTTTTTTTCTTTTGTCTTACACGGGCCTCTCACTGCCGTGGCCTCTCCCTCTGCGGAGCATAGGCTCTGGACGCGCAGGCTCAGCAGCCATGACTCACGGGCCCAGCCGCTCCGTGGCATGGTGCCACATCTTCTTTATCCATTCATCCGATGATGGACACTTAGGTTGCTTCCATGTCCTGGCTATTGTAAACAGAGCTGCAATGAACATTGTGGTACATGACTCTTTTTGAATTATGGTTTTCTCAGGGTATGGAGTGGCTGTGTGCTGGCTGTCCTTTACAGTTGGTTGCAAGGAACAGGCTCACCTCGGCTAGCTCAGCACAGGGAGTTGTCTATGGGAAGGATGGACACGGAGCAAGAAGAGAAAGGGGAATCACAGTTGAGGAGCTAGGTCTCATGAAACTGGACATGGAGGACAGGCTTGTGCTCAGGCCAGCTGCTTGGACCCTCAGCAAGACCATGGGTCACTGTTCTGGCCCTCCATCATGACGGTGGCTGGGCTGCTATCTGTGGGCGCCCTCTGGTCTGGTACTGTTGGCCGGTCTCCCCATCCTCTCCTCTTGTCTTTTCTCTCCATCACTGCTTCTGTGGCCATAGACTTCCTACTCCCTGTAACCCCAGCCAGTTTGTTTTCTGGCCTGTCGTGGCTCTTCTGTTCCCTGGAACCTCATCTCCGCTCCACCTTTGCTCTGCTTTCCACTGTTCTTCCTCTTGGCCCTGCTCTGTTTATTCCATATCATAGGTCACTGACCAGCTGTCATGATGCCGTGACCTATGGTCTTGAGTTGCGAGTGGGCTATGGCAGTCACAAGACAAGTATGGCTGTTTAGGAGAGTCTGTTGGGTTGGAGGGTGGGGACGGTTTCCTTCGGAAAAGTCCACGGGAGAGAGAGTTACCATCATTGGCATGTTCAGATCAGTGCACAGCTGGGTGAAGGGGGAACCTGGGAGGTGAACATGCTTCTGTTTGATTCTCAGAGTCAGATGTGAGTTTCTTATTACTTGGTTCAACCTTCTGTTTCTGCTTCTGGGCTGGAGACAGGGACCTGGGCCACTAACCCTCTGTATGACTCCAGCAAGTCACATCCCATCTCTGAGTCTCGGCGTCCCCATCTGTAGCACAAAGGGGTGGGACTGGATGGTCTCTGAAGGAAGTTTTCACATCTACACTGCGCTCAGAAAGAGGAATTATGCCATCAGTCCTTCCCTTCATGATCTGGTAGAGTTTGAGTTTCCCTCTGCTGGAAGACAACCTCCAGCTGCTGCTCCCATTGGGACACAGGTCTGGGTCTGGCCCAAGGAAGGAATTTCCCATCCTGTTTAGCAGTTCTGCTGGGCAACGTGGGCACCATGTGCAGCTTTCTCTTTTGCTGGTTCTGTTGATTCACATCAGCCCTGAGCCTCGGAGATGAGAAAGACTGAATTCCTGCCATAACTGTTTCCTTCATAAGAGCAGCTCCTCCTTCCCTCCCTTCATCTCTCCTTCCATCCCTCCTTCCTTTCCATTCACTGATGCATATAGCATTTATTAGCCACCTCCTATGTTTTTGTTTCTGTGCTAAGTTCTCCAGATGCCAAGATGAATAAGACACTGTCTCGTACGAGGAGATAAAACTTTTCCTCCTTCCCTCTCTCCTTCTCCTTAGCCCTCCCTCTCTTCATTTCTTTCTTTCCTCTATCACACATTTTTCGAGGGACCACACTGTTCCTGGCATATTGCTAAGGGCTGAGAATAGGGAGCTTCTAGCCTCGAGGATGAGACAGGTAAGTAAGCCGAGAAGTGACTGTGTTGAAGCCTCAACGGAAGCTGGGGCCAGTACCAGGCAGGGCTAGTACCAGGAGCGAGCTAGTACCAGGCAGCGCTAGCACCAGGAGCGAGCTAGTACCAGGCAGCACTAGCACCAGGAGTGAGCCAGTACCAGGAGCGAGCTAGTACCAGGCAGCACTAGCACCAGGAGCGAGCTAGTACCAGGCAGCGCTAGCACCAGGAGCGAGCTAGTACCAGGCAGGGCTAGTACCAGGAGCGAGCTAGCACCAGGCAGGGCTAGTACCAGGAGCGATCTAGTACCAGGCAGGGCTAGTACCAGGAGCGAGCTAGTACCAGGCAGGGCTAGTACCAGGCAGGGCTAGTACCAGGAGCGAGCTAGTACCAGAAGTGAGCTAGTACCAGGCAGCACTAGTACCAGGAGGGCTGGAACCAGGAGCGAGCAATGTGCTGACCTGGTGGAGTGGGAGGTCAGGGGAACTTCTCAGAGGAGGGCCGGTCTGATCTGGACTTTGAAGAAAGAATAGGCATCTTCCAGGCAGACTGGACAAGACAGGGCAGATATTCCAAGTAGAAATAACAACATGTTCCAAGCCTCGGAGATGTGAAATAGCCTGGTTTGTGTTGGGAACTGTGGACCGACCATTTGATGCGACTAAGGCAGTCATTGTAGGGATGAGAGAAGAGGAAGTGACGTAAGCCCAGGTCAAGCCTGAATGTGTACATAGTGGACCAATGTTTTCATTAAACATGCTGTGTCATTGGAGCACAGTCTATATGCCAGTTCCTCCTAATGGGATGCTGTTTTTAGTACAAACCTTTATACTTTTTTTAACTGATATAATGACTTGTTTGCAGAGCATCTATGGAAACTTCTAGAAATTTGCCAATCTGTGAGTAGAAGTTCAAAGAAGAGTGTTGATAGGATGGGTGGATGCCTGACTTTCATTTCCCCATGTCCCTCTACTGACACGAACAGTCCCTAACTTCCTTTAAAAACCTCCTGTGCCCCATTGGGCTGTATGGGGCCTTCACAGCCCAACCACGTAAATCTTAGCCCACACGTCACTGCCATATTATTCCTTATACTAACATGTCCATTGCCATTAAAATTTAATTACCATTAGATAAATTAGGATAGAATGAGAAGGCTGGCTTCCTGATGCCTTTCTACTAAAATCAGATCAGAATTACCTCCAAGGTGGTCTTGCGTGGAAGGTGGCTGGAATGAACTAGAGCATGACCTTGCCTGGAATAGGAGTACTTTGTCCAAGGAATGTTTGTAGGAGTTTGATCCACAAGAGCCACAGAGGATAACAACCTAGCTGTCCTTCAATGCATGGTTGATCAAATAAACTGTGGTACATCCATACCATGAAATACCACTCAACAATAAAAAGGAACAATCCACCGATGCATGCAATAACTTGGATGACTCTCCAGAGAACTATTCTGAGTGAAAAAAGCCAATCCAAAAAGGTTACATACTATATGATTCAATTTATAGAACATTCTTGAAATGACAAAATTATAGCAATGGAGAATAGGGTAGTGGTGCCAGGGATAAAAGATGGGAGGGAGGGGTGGTGAGGAGAGAGGGGGCAGTGGGTGTGGTTAGAAAAGGGCAACATGAGGGCCCCTTCTGGGGGTGGAAATGTTCTGTTATCTTGACTGTATCAATTCAGTGTCCGGGTCATGATATTGTACCGTAGTTTTGCAAGATGTTATCACTGGAAAAAACTAAGTAAGAATGCATGGGATCCCTCTATTATTTCCTACAACTACATGCAAATCTGCAGTTATCTCAAATAAAAAGCTTAATTGCAAAAGTAAACGCTGTCATCAATATAATCACTACCGTTTGTTGATAGCAAAGTGCCTCAGTGCAGTGCTCAGGGTGTAGGTACATACATAACCTTAGTTAAACTTCGCAACAGATCCACATACAGTGGGTGTTCTTCACCCACATGAAGGACAGGGAGAGACTGAAGCTCCCAGAGGGGAAGTCACTGATGTGGAGGCAGTGTGACCGCGTGGGAGTGGGGTGGACTCTGGGAGGGGGACGTGCACAGCACCGGTTGAGCACGGGATGCCACTGGGCATCCAGATGGGGAATGTCCGTTCCCCACCCCACACTCCCCACCCTCATATGCTGGTTGGTGTTTGCTACACCAGCTCTGGAGTTTGGCAGGTAAACACACCTGTTGACTAATAACCAGATCACACAAAACCATCCTTGGGCACCTGGAGCCAAGCTGAACGGCGGACCTCTGAGTAATGCAGGGACCAAGTGATCCATATCCTGTGAGTGAACAGATTAAGGTTCCCCTGAGAACTCTTAGCTCTGCTGGCTTTGAGAGGCAGGAACCCCTTTTCTGGGATGCTGAGGTTTGCTAGTGTTATTCCCATTTTATAGTGGGCAAAACTGAGGAATGGCGAGGTTAATCATTTTGTTCAGGATGCGAGGGGAAGAGGTGGCCATGGGATTTTGAATCTGCGTTTGCCTCACTCTGGATTCTGCTTGTAAGAGTTTGCTGGGGATGCTGGGTAGCTAAGACAAATTACCACAAACTGCGTAGCTAAGACAAAAGACATTCTCTCACAGTCTGGAGTGCAGAAGTCTGAGATCGGGGTGTCGGCAGGGTTGGTTCTTTCTGGAGACTCTGAGGGAGAATCCATTCCATGCCTCTCTCCTTACTTTCGGTGGCTCCGGCAATCCTTGGCATTTCTTGGCTTCTAGAAGCATCAGTCCCCTGTCTACCCCTGTCTTCAAATCACCTTTTCCTCTGTGTGTCTCTCCTTTTCTGTTTCTTATAAGGACACTTGACATTGGATTTAATGCCCCCCACGCCCAAATCCAGGATGATCTCATTTCAAAATCCCTGACCAGCGCCGTTCTGAGGATGCACACATGGATTCTATCTTCCTCTTGACTTTAGAGCAGTTTCAAGGGCCGGAAGAGGCATTGCTGGTTCCAACTGAGATGCGAGGGAAGTTGCTGCAGGCTTGCTCTCACACTCTCTCTTGAGCTGTCAGGCCGTTGATTCTTTAATAAACACTCAGGATGCGAGGCGTTAGGATGGGAGGAACACTCTGGGCACCTGTGCGTGGGACTTTCCAAAATCAAAGAGGCACAGGGAGCGTGACTGTCGCCTACATAGCTTTCATTATGTGGTAACCTTTCAGTCCGGGCTCCAAGCAGTGGACAGGAATTTGACCCCAGAAGCTGTTCCATCCACAGCTGGATGCAACCTGGTGGGGATGATGAAGCAGGTGGGGGGACTTTGGAAGGATCTGGTGGTTGAGGAAAACGGAAGAGATGCTGTGGATGCCAGGGTGGGGTCTCTTCCTGTGCAACCCACTCTCACTGCTGTGTCTCTGCCTCTCTGTCGGCCCCTGCCCCCTGCCCTACTTTCTTCCTGCAGGACCACATCCCTGTTCCTTACCAGCCAGACTCTAGCAGCAATCCCTCGTCCACAACATCCTCCACGCCCTCCTCGCCAGCGCCCCCACTCCCTCCCAGCGCCACGCCGCCTTCTCCCCTGCACCCTTCTCCACAGTGCACAAGGCAGCAGAAGAACCTCAACCTGCCAGGTACCTCCATGCTTGGGAAGCTACAGTGGGGAGCTCTGGGTTCATGCCAGAGCCATTTCCGGACGAGTCCATGCATAAAGGCAATGAGTTGGAAGCATATGGACTGAGTCTTGCCATATGCAGGGCAGTTGCTACATATTACCTTATTTGATCTTTAGAGTAGCCATAACGTAAGTACGATCAGCTCCATTTTACAGATGAGGAAACAGAGGCTCAGAGAGGTAAAGGGACTCATAGAGACTCAGTCTTTTGGGAAGCAGCAACCCAGGGTCTCCATGTAAGTCTGAGTCACAGGGGGAGCCATTGGCTCTGGAGCTGGCCGTTATCTTATGAGCTAAATCAGTTGAAACTGGCAACAGGGCTGCATTCTGAGTCCTACCCCAGACATCAGGACAGGGCTCTGAATGAGCGGGCTGGCGTCCGATATTCAGTATCCAGCTCTCTCATGTCCCTGCCCTGTGACCTCTGACTTCAGTTTTCTCAGCTCTGAAAGGATATAGGTGGACGAGAGGACTCCAAAGGGTCTTCCAGCTCGCAAACTCCAGGGCACTCAGCTGCTGACCTGAGACTATGTGCTGGGCTGTGAGATGGTGGAGAGGCCGTCATGTGATGCTTTGGCTTCTCGGGCTTAAGAAAGGGCTCTCTCTCTGCTCTTAGACAGGCCAGACCTAAGAGTCTTCCTACCCATTCCGGGGCCCAGCCCAGCCCACTTGCTGTTCTAGGGCCCCAGGGACATTTCCAGTTCAGCCATATTGGCAGCATCATAGCTGACTTCAAGACAGAGGCTGGCGGGATGAGGTCTGGCTTGGCCAGTTGGGACCGAAGTCTGGGTCTGTGTTGTTCAACATGGTACCCACTAATCACGCATGGCTATTTAAATTTAAACTAATTAGGGCTTCCCTGGTGGTGCAGTGGTTAAGAATCCGCCTGCCAATGCAGGGGACACGGGTTCGAGCCCTGGTCCGGGAAGATCCCACATGCCACAGAGCAGCTAAGCCCGTGCGCCACAACTATGGAGCCTGCGCTCTAGAGCCTGCAAGCCACAACTACTGAGCCTGTGCTCTAGAGCCCGTGAGCCACAA